AGATCCCCCGTATAGCCTTAACAGACTGTAGAGGCAAGTGCTGTTAGCGAGCACCAATAAAGTCCAGAACGGCACACGAGGGGGTGGGTGGCCAGCACCACGCCCAGCCGCCTTTGTCTCCCCAGTGGCGATGTTTTTACGCGTCGTAGCAGGTACTCATTTGGGGCTGAGTCGACCTAGGGGAGGCCAAGGAACCGTTTCAGATAATAGTCACCGGTGTTGGCCGTGAGCGGGAATCGAACCCGGGTTGCCCGGTTCGTAGCGCAGCGTAGCGCTACCCGCTACACCACCGCTACCCACTTCGAGCTTCCACGCACGCGCGCGTGTGTGTGTGGTGTGTGAGTGGTGTGTGTGTGTGTGGTGTGTGAGTGAGTGGTGTGTGTGAGTGGTGCGTGTGTGTGTGAGTGGTGTGTGTGTGTGAGTGAGTGTGTGTGGTGTGTGTGTGTGAGTGAGTGTGTGTGGTGTGTGCAGTCTGGCAAAACAACCCCCTACCTCCTCGCGGTGCCGGACGGGCAACTCTGTCGTGGGGGAGGTCCAATTTTGATTGGCTCCTCCCCTCATGGCATATGTGTCCACCACAGGGGCTAAACGGGGGCTCTGGACGGGTGCGAGGGGCTGGTGACCCCTCCACCTTCAATTAATTACCACTAAACCACGAGTTAAACTGAAAAATGTAACTAATAAGCTTGTGCCGGAGGCCCCGGGGGGCCAGGCGTCTATGACGTCTCCTGGCCAAACCCCAATTGGCGGAGCCAGGAGATTGAATATCTACCCTCGGGGCTCCTCCAGAAACAACGGAAAGCCACTACGGGTGGCCACGTGGAATGTTCGAACGCTCACTGCGGAGGGGAGGCTGCCACTCCTCTGCCGGGAGCTGGACCGGTACCGCCTGGATCTGTGTGGCATTCAGGAGGTCCGGTGGACCGGCTCTGGTTCCTGCCACCATGAGGGGTGGACAGTCCTCTACTCGAGGCAGCAGACTGCCAAACAACAGGGTGAGGCTCTTCTTTTGAACAAAAGAATGAAGGGGGCGTGGGAGCGTGGCGGTGAGGTGTGGGAAGCTGTAAGTCCCAGGCTACTTTGAGCTCACCTTCCCATCAACCGGAGGCGAGGAATGGTGGTCGTGGTTACTTATGCCCCCACCGAAGATGAACATCCGTGGAGGGATGCAGGCAAAGCCGATGAGTCAGATGCCTTCTATGACCTCCTGTTACAGGTGCTGGCTAAAGTGGCCCCTCGGGATAGAGTCATCATGTTGGGTGACTTCAATGCCCGAGTTGGTCATGATACTGGCACCTGGTCTGGAGTGATTGGAGGGCATGGGCCAGATCAGTTCAATAACAACGGTAGGAGGCTGCTAGATTTTTGTGCAGCCCATGGGCTTGTAATTACCAACACGCTGTTCCGGCATCGGCGCATCCACACAACATCATGAATGCATGCCGGGTCCAAGCAAGAACATCTGCTGGACTACATAGTGACGGACCAGCGGATGCGAGCCCATGTCCTTGACACCAGGACCTACCGTGGAGCTGATCTGCCCTCTGACCATCAACTAGTCATCTGTAAGATGCGCCTGCCATTCTTCCACTCCGGTGGTGGGTGTACACCCAGGACCCCATTCCAACCTAAAGTGGCCTGGTCTCAGCTGATGAAAGTTGCAAGCGAGAATTTCATCATCGCTTGCGGCTGGGATTGGCATCGTCCCCGACTCCTCCTGATGTCGAGGGTAAATGGGCGAGGTTTAGGACTGTGACTCAGGCAGCTGCAATGGCTGCTTTGGGTACGCGGTCCAGACCTCCCTAGAGACCCTGGCTGACAGAGGAGGTGCTCAAGATGGTTGAGAAAAAGCGACAGGCCCACTGTCATCGGCTACAGAATCCCACGTCAGAGAATGAGGAGGCTTACTGCAGCCTTCGCTCGGAGGTTCGGAGAGTCGTGAGGCGCTGCAAGGATGAGTGGTGGTCGCGGGTTGCTGAGGAGATGGAGTCTGCCTCAGTGGCCCGTGATCACAAATCTCTATTTAACTCCATCAAAAAAGTAATCTACAGCGCCACACCTATTACCATCATTAGGGGAAAAAACGGTGACCCAATCTCCGACCCCCAGGAACAGGTTTGCAGATTTGCTGAGCATTTCTGTGAGGTCCTGGGGGAGGGAAAATCCCTCAGCAAGGAAAACATCTTGGCACAAAGTGAGGATGACCCTGCTGAGGCTGCGGTGCCTCAAATATTGGAAGAAGTCACCCCCTGTGAGTGGCTGGCTGAGGTGCCATCTGCTGAGGAAGTACTGAAGGCGATCCAGAGTCTGAGACCAGGAAAGGCAGCGGGCAGAGATGATCTCCCAAGCGAAATGCTGAGGGAGGGCGGCGTTTGTGCACAGACTGCCCTATATGACATCATAACAACAGTCTCGACCACTGGATGGGTTCCGCAGGATTGGAAGGATGCCCTGGTGGTCCCCCTTTTTAAGAAGCGGGACCGCACAGACTGTAACAACTACAGGGGCATCTCACTCCTCAGTGTGCCGGGAAAGGTCCTGGCAAGGATTATTCAACATCGCCTTGCCAGGCACGCTGAGGAGAGGCTTGCGGAGCCCCAATGCGGTTTCAGGAAAGGGCGGTCCTGCACAGATGCCATATTTTCTGTCCGTCTGCTACAGCAGAGGTGTAGGGAATTCCAACAAGACCTACATCTCTGCTTTATTGACCTGGTCAAGGCCTATGATACCATCAGTAGGCCTGGGCTCTGGGTTGTTCTTCGTGCTTTTGGAGTACCTGACCCTCTGCTCACGATCATTAAGGACCTTCATGATGGTGAGCGGGCCCGGGTAAAACTACGTGGCCGGGAGTCAGAGCCATTCCCTGTTAACCTTGGGGTGCGACAGGGATGTCCTCTGGCTCCCACATTATTTAACATATATTTTGACCACGTAGTTCGTGAAGCCTTCAATAGCTGTACCGGGGGAATCTCCATATGGTACAGATATAATGGGAGGCTGATCGACGCCCTGGTGCGGTCAAGGGATGGCTCCCTATTGCTCAACCACGTTATGTATGCTGATGATTTGGTAATAGCTGCTCATTCAGAGGAGGAGTTAGAGACGCTGCTGCTGAGACTGGAGCGTGCCACTAAGAGGTGGGGCCTTACCATCAGCCCCACCAAAACTAAGCACCTGCCTGGGTAGTTTGTACTATCGGACACTCCACCCCCACAACTCCCAATCGGTGATGGGGCAGTTGTAGAGAGAGTGGAGAGTTTCCCATACCTGGGCAGTGTGCTTATTACTGGCTCCAGTTTAACAGCAGAGGTCTCACTCCGAATCAGTCGAGCGGCAATATCTTTTCATCGGTTGCGTAACGCTGTGTGGAAGCTACCTGGTCTGTCGCTCCGCACTAAGCTTCAGGTCTTCTCGGCCACGGTCATTCCCTCCCTTCTCTACGCTTGCGAAACGTGGACCCCCCTAATGGAACATCTTCGCCGGTTAGAAACATTTAGGCTGGCCTGCCTACGATCCATCCTGGGTTTAACCAGACTGGATTGTGTGAGGAGCTCACAAATCCTTGAAAGATCTGGGCAAGGTCCCATCGGTGAGCTCCTCCGGCGGGGAAGGCTGCGATGGCTGGGTCATGTAGCCCGCATGCCCAGCCACCGCATGCCGAAACAGCTTTTGTTCGGCCGGATTGAGGGGGCTAGACGGGCGCGGCACGGGCTAGAGAAGAGATGGAGTGATGTGGTACAGGAGGACGTGGAGCTGAGTGGACTTGCCGATGACTGGTACCAGCGGTGTCAAGATCGGCCTCTGTGGAGGAGGCTCGTGAAGGACGCTACTGGGCAGTTGGAGGTAGTCGCCCTCCAACAACAACGGAGGGTGGAGGAGCGACGCTCAGAACAACGAGTGGAGCGTCGGGTGGCTAAAGCACAGCAGGTTGGCACAGTGGGGGGCACAGGTGGTGCATCAGCCAGTCATCTCAGTCAGTCGACCCGTGGCACCTGGGTCTGCCCCGTGACCTCCTGCCAGCGGGCGTTCGACACTTCACGTGGCCTCAGGGTGCACATAGCCTGACACAAGCGTCGTGGTGACGTCACCGCCACTTAGTGGTGAATGGCGGTTGTTGTGGTGTGTGCATGTGGTGTGTGTGAGTGGTGTGTGTGTGGTGTGTGTGTGGTGTGTGTGAGTGAGTGTGTGTGGTGTGAGTGTGGTGTGTGTGTGAGTGGTGTGTGGTGTGTGTATGGTGTGTGTGTGAGTGAGTGTGTGGTGTGTGCATGTGGTGTGTGTGTGAGTGAGTGTGTGGTGTGTGCATGTGGTGTGTGTGTGAGTGGTGTGTGTGTGGTGTGTGTGTGGTGTGTGTGTGTGTGGTGTGTGAGTGGTGTGTGTGAGTGGTGTGTGTGTGTGATGTGTGTGGTGTGTGTGTGATGTGAGTGGTGTGTGTGTGTGTGAGTGGTGTGTGCGGTGTGAGTGGTGTGTGTGTGTGACTGGTGTGTGTGGTGTGTGAGTGGTGTGTGTGGTGTGTGAGTGGTGTGTGTGTGATGTGTGTGGTGTGTGAGTGGTGTGTGTGTGAGTGGTGTGTGTGAGTGGTGTGTGTGTGTGAGTGGTGTGTGTATTAGTGGTGTGTGTGTGAGTGGTGTGTGTGTGTGGTGTGTGTGTGGTGTGTGAGTGAGTGTGTGTGGTGTGTGCATGTGGTGTGTGTGGTGTGTGAGTGGTGTGTGTGTGTGGTGTGTGAGTGGTGTGTGTGTGAGTGGTGTGTGTGTGAGTGGTGTGTGTGGTGTGTGAGTGGTGTGTGTGTGTGAGTGGTGTGTGAGTGGTGTGTGTGTGATGTGTGTGGTGTGAGTGGTGTGTGTGAGTGGTGTGTGTGTGTGAGTGGTGTGTGTGTGGTGTGAGTGGTTTGTGTGTGAGTGGTGTGTGCGGTGTGAGTGGTGTGTGTGTGTGAGTGGTGCGTGCGTGTGTGTGCGCGTGCTCGCGATGCGCCCCCCACCCCCTCCCCTGGTGTGCGCTGACGTCACCGCCGAGAGCGCGAGACGCGTGCGGACTCGAGGATGCGGACTCGGCACTGAAGCTCGCGCGTGCGCGCGCGCGTCAAATCCGCTCCACCTCCCTGCGAATCATTCCCTGGCCCCCAGCATCAAGGTAACCCGGATTCTTCTCCATCCACGCGCTCGTGCACACTCGTCTCTAACCTATCTCTAACCTATCTCTAACCTATCTCTAACCTATCTCTCCTAGCTCGCTCTCACGCGCGCAGACGCACGGTGAACGCGAGCGTTGCGCTGACGGCCGTGAACGTCCGAGCCCGCCGACGTCGGGAGCGTTGAGCACGAAGCGCGCGGAGCGTCCCCAGCGCCGTGGCGATGGTGGCAGTGAAGCCGTCGCTCGCTCGCTCGCTCGCTCGCGAACGCGCGAATGAATGCGTGCGGCGAAACGCCATGGGGTGGCGAATGATATCACGAATGAGCGAAGGGATTGCGTACCGCTGCATGTGCGGATTAAAATGAGCAATGCGTGTTTTGAACGAACCCGGGTGGTGGGTGGGTGAGCGAGCGGGCGATTGTCTGTGTGTGTGAGCGAACGAAAGGGTGGTGGAGATGAATGAATAATCAGATTACGTCCATGGAGTGATTTTCACAAATCTGTGCATGGCAGTGTAGGATCCAAATGCGAGATTGCGTGTGAATACCGAATGGCGTGTGCAGATATTTGGATGGCTTATATTTTTTTGTTATATTCTGCAGGTTTGTAAAGGTACGGTATGTTATTATTGAGATAAATAGATGCGCATGGTCGAATGACAACGCACATTTAAAGTGCAGTTCGTCGTGTTCAGTAATGCACTGTACAGACAGCTGCGCGTCAATCCACTGCTGGCTGAAGACGATCCAAATACTGTGTCCGTGCAGTGCATCGTGCGGGTTGGTTTGGCCATACTTCACCGCGCTGGTCAATGCGGGTCGGTGCAGCGGTGCGATACGGCACCGGGCCGATGCAGATCTCACTGATGTCGGAGTGTATGCACCGCGATTCCGTTGCTGTACGCGTGTGTATATGTGCTATACCAAATGTACGTGGTGTGTAACGCAGTTGTGCATTTTCACGTCAATATGCTCAAACTAACGAATGGATAAGGCGCAAAGAATGGACTGATAGGTGGATGCACGTGATCAATAAACACGTTGATACGTGAGTGTATTTAGATGTCAACGGATTGTATTGCAGGTGCGGGTTCAGGATGATTGAAATAACTCGGGATAATTTAACGCATCATCAATGGCAGCTGCGTTCTCCCTGCAGTAGCTCAAGATTTGCCTCGTTCTCGCTTGCTGTGGGATGATACAGCACAGGTTACCTGCGGAACTGTCGTGATTGTTACGCGCGCAGTGGTGACGGTGACGATAGACGGGCAATGGTGTGTTTTCAGCTTTGCGTGAGCTTGCTTCAAGTCACAGACAAGGGACAGTGATTTTTTTTTAACGGTGATGTTTTTCTATGGAGTTGACATATCGCGGCACTGTGAACTCCATATAAAAACTGCGATACGTGAACTGTTAAAGGTTCAGCACTGCAATTTCCTACTCACGCCACTGCCGGTGGAAGAATCTTCACTCGCGGGAGGTATAGAGAGCACCTGTAAGTGGGTCATTTGGCCTACTCTTCCATTCTGGCCAGACGTCACCTGAATTTGACGACTCATAAACACGGCTGGTAGCTGTTTCGCATTCTCTGATTATTCACATTCGCTGCACCGCAATAGATTTGAGCTCTTTGCCAATCCACTGCTGGATGAAGGTCACCATGTCGGCAGTGGAGATTGTTTGACCATACTTCACCACGCCTGGTCAGTGAGAGTTGGTGAAGGCGAGCGAGGCCCTGAACACTCGAGTCGCCGGGTTCAAAGGGCAGCGTGCTAATCACTGCTCGAACCGATCCTCCGTTGTGCGTTAATTGTAAGAGTGGATGCATAGAGTTACATGACACGTTTACCTATTAAAGTAATTCACGATGATAATTCGCGTTTTCGCTCGAAATTATATGCCGAGATAACTAATGAAGGTGTTTTATGTGATCGGCTGCACGTGATTTGAATTCAGCCTGTGCTCTACTGGAATAGCTCGTCAATGTTGATGCTCGATTAAAGGCAGACTACACAAAACACGAAATAAGCCACGTAGAATGAGAATAAAATAATAAATTTAGAAAATAAAATAACACAATAAAATTCTCACGACGTTTCGGCCACAACACAAGTGGCCTTCTTCAGGTGAAAGGAACAGACCTGTCGGAACAATGCAATGATAATTTTATTGTGTTATTTAATTTTATTAATTTATTATTTTATTCTCATTCTACGTGACTTTACCGAAAGAACCAAAGAAGATGAATCCTTGCAGTCACGAAAGCTTTAAATCGAAACGAAATAAGCCATTAATCTAGCTTACTATTATCATATTCACGATAAGCTAAGGTGTACGAGTGTTGCACCAGTCGGGAGTGGCAATGTTAAATAGCCGCACGCACGTAGGCTGTTGAGCGGTGGCGCAGTGATGAGCGCATTGCACTATAAACTCGGCAAAACCTGAGTTTAATTCCCAGCTGCGGCTAACATCAGTGGCGTGTGATATCCGAACCCATCCTGATCCCCCCTCCCTCCCTCACCCCCGCTTCACCAAGCCGCAATGACCGGCAAGGAAAAGTATGATCCAGCAACCTCTATGACCTCTGCAGTGTGCAGAGGCTTTCATCCTACAGTGGATTGACACAGAGCTCTAAAATGTCTCTTTTACAAAAAATATATTTGGATTTTAGAATGTATATACAGTATATACAGTATACATAGGAGCATAAACCATCGTCACGCGAACTCCGCAACATCCTCACAGCAGCAGCGGGTTTGGCTCAGCCATCGAACAAAGACGGGCACTGCATCGCGCGATCTCAAATGCACTTCTGCGGCCGTCTGGAACGCTCGTCCGTCCGATATTAGGAAACCACTGGAGCTATGCGCTTTTAAATCATCTAGATCGAAAACTCAATTCTTCATAACTGATTTTTGTGTTTAGTTTAGTGTCCTTCCCCCGTACCTCCGATGAGCACGGTTGGTCACGTACAGTGGAAAGAAGTTCAACATACATACATACATAAATCTTGAGGCTATATATGCATTGTGTATGTATGTGTACTTTATATTCAACGGATATAGAATGCATCTGTTATAAAATGTTGAAAGCAGGAGATGAATAGAAGCATAGGCTCACATATTTTCCATTACGGAACAATGCAATACATTGTTTTCAATACACGTTCATCACCCTTCAAGTCGGTGCGCATTAGTCACCTCTGAAATGTCCTGACTGTGTAATGGGTACACAAAGATGAGATATTGAAAGTCAGCCAAACATTAGGTCAGTGTAAATACAAATAAAAATACTCCATTATAATATGGCATCGACTGTGTTTGGGGGGGGGGGGGGGTTCCTATTGAATTCACTCCCATCGGCTGTTTTACCCCAGGTACAACTCAACGAGCATGTTAGCCACTATCTGCTGTACTACAACTTTGGATTATATTTGCTGGCAACCTTGCCGCTCTCACTTATTCCAGAATCTGTATTTATCCTGAAGAAATCCGATGACCTATGAAGCTCTTTTTTTGTACAGATTTCCAGTAGGGGCAGGTCAGAAAGTTACAACAATCCCAAAAAAAACAACGACCGGAGTGTAAAGTATAGGAAAGGAAAGCATATCACTAAATATAATGATGTCTGGCCACGGTAGAAGAGTAGTTCAATAATTTCGAGAGGGCCTGTCCAGAGCGCAATCTAGTAAAGGCCCTTCCTCCACCAGTGGCGTGAGCAAGCGATTGCAGGGCTCTGCACCTTCATCTTGTTCTGTATTCGAGCGTGTGGCCCCAGCAAGAAATGAGCAAAGTACGATCGTGGTGATTTAACAATTACAGGTAATCCTCCATATCTGACCACGATGCGGGCACATTTCGGCCTTTGGCCGGCGAATAAAACAGGGGGCCTGTTTTGACGTTCACGTAATTGACCAATTGGCACCACATTTGTTCGTGTCCCCGCTGTGCATTATCCAGGGGAATAAGGTTGCGGTTGAACTTGTGAACCCAGAGCCCATGGGCAAAACCACTCTTCTCTGGGCCACGTGGCTGGCTGCCTGTTCACAGCGCAACCTGGTCGTGTGTGACCCGCGAAATGTAAAGCTACCGCAGGATTCTCCCCGACGTGCTTTGCGAGTTGTGCCACCGCGTGCTGTTTGGCGCGATGTTCGACGTCCCGCTCCGCTATGCCGGGAGCCTCTGCAGGAAATGGATTTGAGCGTAAGGCCTCAACAACACGTGCACGGTACAACCCGAAAACCAACTGGGGAGCCACGCACAGCACAATGGCAAACAACCTAAACTGTGCTCCCATATTACCTGTGGATGCAATAATAATAATAAAGCCATTTGATTTATTCAGGACAGCCTCAAAATCTTCGGGTGAGATTCAACATTTACTCACAAGAGTGTCCTGCCTCGGGATGTTTGATCAATTATATGTCTGAGTTTTGATTGAAAGCTTTCGTGACTGCAGTAATTCATATTCTTAGCTCTGTCGGTAAAGTCACGTTGAAGGGAAACAATAAAATAGTAAAATATATATAAAACAATTAAATTCTCACGACGTTTCGACCATAACACAAACGGTCGACCGTTTGTGTTATGGTCGAAACGTCGTGAGAATTTTATTGTTTTCTACATATTTTATTATTTTATTGTTTCCCTTCAACGTGACTTTACCGAAAGAGCTAAGAATATATATGTCTGAGTGTTTTGTGAGTGGGAGTAAATTAGAGTACTGTACCTGGAAGGAGAAAAACTATATATATACGTGGGAGAACAATGAGACTTTGTTCACAAACACAGGTTCACGGATCCACTTGCTGTCCTGCCATCTAGCCACCTCGTAGCCCGGCGGGGTATTTACGATTCTCATAAATCTACGGACGGTACCAGCCCTTGCCTCCAAAGTGATGGATCACCAGTGTGTGTCAGCATCCCCAGCCGCAAGGTATGCGGAAATATTTTTTCACTTCATGTAAAGTAAAATGTCCGCGCTTCATCTGACGGGCCTGCTCAAGACAGGAGTTAAGATATGTCTCTGTTGACCAGTCTGTTGAACGTTGTCACTCTTTAGTCGATAATGTGGGAGGAGCAGTCGTGCTTTGGTTCGTGCACTGTGCTGTGAAACGGATGAGCAAAGTTCGATATCCGGCCACAGGTTAACATTCATGGAGAGTGATATATGAACTAGTCTTGGATTCCCTACCCCTTCACTAACCTGGACTGACTAGCACGGTGAGGTATGGTCAAACAACACGCCTTGGACTAACACAGCATACGGAGGGCTTCACCTATCAGTGAATTGGAAAACGGATGTAAATATTTTGTATTGCATTCTTATAAAATCTATAACATGCATTGGCAGCATTCTGTGACGGTAAAACAAATACATTGGGAACAGGATATTAAAGGCACACAACGATTACCCACTCACCTCTTTATTTTTTCAAAATGGAAAATCCTCAATATGTTTACCCTAGAGGTGGGATTCACAGCAAGTTTAATAGCAGCCTCCAGGATCACTGAGCCCTTCAGTCCTCAACCTCACCTCATATATCTAATTTATCCAAATTCACAGACAGCGCCTTCGCTCGTCGCTATGCCCGTTATAAATGCAGCGAGCGTCACAAATCCTGCTTGCGAGTGACCAGGGTATGGGCGGGTAAATGAACATCAATGGACAATGACAGTCACAGCAACCGTATACACGAGAAGGTTTACTGGGCCAGCGCGGGGTAATGCTTCCCCGCACTTAAGGAGTGAGAGAATGCACGCGAGATTAATAACACATCACCGCGAGTGAAAATATCGTGAACATCCGTAGCGAAATGACACTTGCACCAACCACCATTGCACAAATGCTGTACCGGGTGCGGGCGATCAACGGTTTGAGGGCGGACGCGTGGCGGTCGGACGCGCCACGTCGCACTCTACCCTATTTTAATATTAACGGGGGATTATTTAACCGTAGCCGGCGAGGGACCCCCGGCGCCGCTCACACCGTGGCGCATCAGATTTCGGGCGAGCGTAGCCGCAGCCCTCTGGCTTGGAGGGGATGGCAATTTACGCCTACGTTCGTGGCCTCTGTGGCAACGGCGCGCACTCGACGCCGTGTGGACCCGTCTGAAGGGGACACACCCGGATGAATCGGCTTCGGCTCCTCCTGAGCCGAAGAGCTTGCACGGTGGTGTGGGACCAGTGCCAGGGCACGGGGCTGCTGTCTATTGTGTGGACGCCGCCGCCGCCGCCGTTGCAGCGGCCGAACATAACTCGCGTTACGGACCAAAATGTCATCGAATATCGCTCGCCTTGGAATATTTCCACACCTGCGCGGCGTCCTTTTGTTTGTTTGTTTTGTTTACGAATAATGGACAAGTGAGAGGAGTGTAGTCGTCCTGACAAGGGGAGGTCACGTGCTGTCGGTGGTCCGCTCAGGGGCGAGGCTCTGCCGTTGCCCTTCGGGAGGGTTGACCCCTGCGACCTCCCCAAATGCGAGACACTCGGCTGTATAATTCGCGGTAGTGGGGGACTGCGTTCGCGCTATCGCCCGAAAAGAAAAATAATAATTTACAAGTGCCATCGCGTTTTTTTTTCTTCGTGTGGCTGTGTATCGCCTTCACTGCGTGGGTTTTTCCACGCGGTTGTGCTGCTGCACACCCCTCCCACGTGTTGGCGGGTTGGACCACCGCGCCTTGTTCGGCACGATTCAGTTCCTGAAGAGGCTCTCGGGCACGTGGTTCTTACAGAGTAATCTTACGAAGCTCCCCCAGCACGATACGCCGGAATGCCGTGCCGAGCAACACGCGGGTACGAGCCGATGAGACGTAGCGGCGAGGCTTCCCCACTCCCCGTGTCGTAAATGCAGCGCGGGGAAGCAATACGACAGCTAAACCAGTTGGAGTGATTTTTTGTTTCTTTCCAGAACACGCGCGCACGTTAACACGCAACATCATTGCCTAAGTAGGCGGCATGGGTGGCTCTGCAATGATAGCCCCCCGGGGGCGGGGGGTAGGGGGGGGCGGCGTCGTCGTCAGCCTCGCCACTGAAATCTCCCTTGCAGTCAAAAGGTCGCTGCTAACGCGCCGGGCTTTAGCATGCCCCCGCCGCGGAGGGGCGACGAGCTCGCGTTGAATTATTACCGTGCGCCGAGACAGAGACCCGAATGTTCCCGCTGTGCATTCCGTACGCTTGTGTCGCTGGTCCCCGATTTTTTATTTTTTTTTGGCCCGCGAAAGAATGGGACCATTGAAAAAGTCCCTTGACGCAGCGGGGCGGGAGGATGCGCGCGCGTTTTGTGCGCCGCGGAATTGCGAGGGGCTTCTCCTGCTCGCCGCCCTGAATGGGGCTGTTTAAAGTGCCAGCGGAGAGTTAAATGTCATCAAAATGCCTGCTTGCTGCCATGCATTCCGGAGAACTTCCAGCAAACGATGTAAAATGATGGAAAATGAAGGACGTAGCCGTTGCGATGCGAACAAACGCAACGCAAAGGGTAGACTCAGTTACGTGGCTGTGAATGGACAAAAATATGAAAACGTGGATTAGGAAACATCCAGAGACGTAAGTCAAACTGTTACGAAAAGGAATTTGGCTCTGGCAGGACACTTCAGATGCGCTTTTGCGGTCGTCTGGAATGCTCTTCCTTCCGATATTAGAAAGCCACTGGAGCTATGCAATAAACTAGACTCGTGTGCAGGTCCGATATAGATTGTTAAATCACAGAACCGTGAGGCACGGCGATTACTTGGGCAGGCCTCATACAGCAGCGGATTGGCTGTGGGTAATGATGTTGGAAGTGAAATGTGTCAAGTTGGTTGGATCTTAGAGCCTCGAGCGGTTTTGGTAACCTGATAGGGTAGAACAGGACTCAGCTGTTTTTCTGTGTTTCTTTATGGGTGCCCGTTGGCTGTCTTTCTGGGTGCTGGATATGTTTGCCTAGACATACTGGTAGCACTTATAAATATATTCTTGTTATTTCTAGTCATGTGGGTTTTGGAATTTACTCCATGTAAAAACGCAAAATGCTGTATATGCAAAGGGGTGGTACATGTACAGTAGTGATAATAATACAAATAATAGCACACATGGGAAAACGAGTTGGTTCAGCCGGGAATCACATTAACGTTCAGTTATCTTTCGATTTTGTTAGATTACATTATCTCCCCCTCCCATCCCTCTCTTCCCTCTTCCTTCCTCCCCTCCTTATAAATACGCTATGGGTCTCATACCCTAAAACTTGATACCTTGGTATCGCTGCACGTTTGGTTTTCAGGCCTACCTCATGAAGGACTGTACGGTTGGGTTCTTGTAAAAATTTTTTTTTTTAAAAATATAGAAATTATGAGGCCTACCCGTGCCGTGTTAGTCGTTGGGGTTACTTGACTATACTGCACCGCGCTGGTCACTGTGCGTGGGTCAAAATGGTTTATTCCTACGCTCGGTTATCCTCCGCGGCCTGGAAATTACATCCAGGTTTTTAGATTGGTCGGGCAGTAGGCTAACCCACTGCATCATCGCACAACATTTCACTAATTTGTTGGTAATTTTGGTAGTGTAAGGTGTGGCCTTTATATATATATATTCCCATCAAATATTGATATTTGACTCTTCAAAAGTATTCTTGATGAGGCACATTAATGTCATTATGCACTGAGCTGAAACATCAAGCTTGTTAATAATTAATACTTCATGGTTAGTGGAAGCTTCGTATAGTCCTTTGTACAATTTCTCTCCAGCTAATTGCATATCTCGTGTTTTCACAAATTAAAGAACATAAATGGCAAGTTTCACGTGGAGCGAGGAGCAATAAAACCATCGCAGTACTTGAGTTGACGTTTTCGGCAATTCTGTGCGACTGCATTCTGACGAATGAAATGGCGCGTGTACGTCAATGATTCCCTCCTTCTCATGTTGACCGTGAATGGCACTTTGAAGTGGCGTGGACTCGGGGCTGTCTGTGGTCTCTCTCAAAAAGCGGTGCCAGGATAAATCGTGGCTTTGTGCGCCTTGAGTGCTTGCTGGGATCAATGACTGGAATTCTGGTACACGTTCAAGCAGTGGCCTTCCTTGTCAACACATCAGCAGTAGTCACGCATGCTTGGCTTGCATTGACAAATGATATCGGCACAAGCATCAAAACTGCAGGTGAAAGCCGGCACGCAGAATATGGTTCCACATAGTTAATGCCCTCAAATAGCTTTTGGAATTCAGTAGCCAAGCAAAATAATCACTTGAATGGATAATTGTGGTCAGTCATGATGATGATTATTGATCATGATCAGTGGTTAATGTTAGCCGTGGTGTATGCGGTGGTGTGAAAATGAACCTGCGTGAATTGTGCTTACATATACGTTCACGAGGTTGTAGGAATAAATGGTCCAACAATATGGGTTTAGTATGGAGAGGTGTACCTTGTACAGGGGGTATTCTAGTGGTAGTGCCTTACACCAAGAATCCCGGCTCCAAGCCCAGCCCCAGATGAGCAACGTTACGTAAAATATCACTCTATGGCCTTTATAGAATTCGTCGGTATCTGAATGTTGCAGGTGGAGAGCGCAGCGGTCAATCCTCTATGAGGATTTGATGACTCTGTGTCCAAGTATCTCAGTAATTTGATTTCCCGCAGGGAGTTGCTGAGTGTATAAGGAATATGCGCGCAATTGATTTAAAACTGTTTTCAGCCACTGTGCAATCAATACGCGACTGCAGGTCTGGTGGCCTTATATGGGATTGTGCATGTACATGGACCCTCCATTGCTTTAATGTATGAACATTGTTTGAAACAACCAATGTTATACCGTATGGAGGGATGCTGCCGCTTGGGTTAATGGTTGGCACACTGGACCGCCAATCCAGAGGTCGCGGGTTCAAATCGATCCTCCGCCGCGGAAGTCGAAGCAATATACAGGATTCTTAAATTCCCATCCCCGCCTCTGTCCACCCCCCTCCGACCCAGAGGTATAAAATGTGTTCATCGTAGTTGGTCAATCGGCAGGCGTGCGTGCGGTGGGGTAAATTGTGGGGGCTCCATCCTCGTCCAAAAACCAACACGTCGTTCACGAGCTCCGTCTCGTCCAGGTCCTTGTGTCAGTCCGTGGCGTGATCGAGTCATTGCGGGGCTGCACCTTTACCCGCGTTGAGCATCATCTCTCGCGTGAAGCTGACCTCAAACATCTCTGCGCGTCGTCGTTTTAATTTTTTTCCATTGCACCACGATGCCCGCAAATTGCACGCGGCAAAACGAGCCCGAGCTGCCATGTGGCATTGTCGAAGCGGTCACCTTTCAATGCCACCCACGGTCTGCTGAGAATACTAAACTATTAAAAAAGCATCTTGACTTAAAGCTTTCGTGGCTGCAGGAATTCATACTCTCTGGGTCTTTCGGTAAAGTCACGTAGATAGAGAAAAAAAAAAAAATCACGACGTTTCGATCGCAACACAAACAGTCGTCTTCAGGTGAAAAAATACAGCAGGCGGACTGCTGAGGCAGGAAGAAATATGATCGAAACGTCGTGGTTTTTAAAATTGTTTTTCTATCTACAGTGAGGGAAAAAAGTATTTGATCCCCTGATGATTTTGTACGTTTGCCCACTGACAAATAAATTATCAGTCTATAATTTTAATGGTAGGTTTATTTGAACAGTGAGAGACAGAATAACAACAAAAAAATCCAGAAAAACGCATGTCAAAAATGTTATAAATTGATTTGCATTTTAATTAGGGAAATAAGTATTTGACCCCCTCTCAATCAGAAAGATTGATGGCTCCCAGGTGTCTTTTATACAGGTAACGAGCTGAGATTAGGAGCACACTCTTAAAGGAAGTGCTCCTAATTTCAGCTTGTTACCTGTATAAAAGACACCTGTCCACAGAAGCAAACAATCAATCAGATTCCAAACTCTCCACCATGGCCAAGACCAAAGAGCTCTCCAAGGATGTCAGGGATAAGATAGTAGACCTACACAAGGCTGGAATGGGCTACAAGACCATTGCCAAGCAGCTTGGTGAGAAGGTGACAACAGTTGGTGCGATTATTCGCAAATGGAAGAAACACAAAAGAACTGTCAATCTCCCTCTGCCTGGGGCTCCATGCAAGATCTCACCTCGTGGTGTTGCAATGATCATGAGAACGGTGAGGAATCAGCCCAGAACTACACGGGAGGATCTTGTCAATAATCTCAAGGCAGCTGGGACCATAGTCACCAAGAAAACAATTGGTAACACACTACACCGTGAAGGACTGAAATCCTGCAGCGCCCGCAAGGTCCCCCTGCTCAAGAAAGCACATATACATGCCCGTCTGAAGTTTGCCATTGAACATCTGAATGATTCAGAGGACAACTGGGTGAAAGTGTTGTGGTCAAATGAGACCAAAATGGAGCTCTTTGGCATCAACTCAACACACCATCCCCACCGTCACACATGGAGGTGGAAACATTATGCTTTGGGGGTGTTTTTCTGCTAAGGGGACAGGACAACTTCACCGCATCAAAGAGACGATGGACGGGGCCATGTACCGTCAAATCTTGGGTGAGAACCTCCTTCCCTCAGCCA